ACTTATCCGCGCATCGTATTAACTGAGTTGATTAAACGAGTTCAAGCACCAACAGTGTCTTTGTTCGATTAACACCGGCACTCATTGAAGGCGGCTTTGTTGGGGATTCCGAGGGTAGCCGCACATGTATTTGCGGTATTCCTTTTAAGAACGAGGAACTGCCTCAACTGTCTATCTGGGTTCAAAACTGCTGCATACTAAAGTCATGGTGGATATCATTTATCCCTATTTTTAGGCAGCAGAGTGTATTTGGAAATCCTTGATTTTGGCCACAGCATAGAGGTCGAAATTCCGCTTCGTGCTTATTTAGAACACAACTCCGCCATCCACCCAGTCGTGGATCTTCGTGTGGTCTACAAAACGCTGTTTTTAACACGTTATTGAAGACAATGATATTGCGTCTCTCCCATAGAAATGTATCTAGTTCTTATTTTGACTGGTTCAAGTTGTATTCTGTTACCGTTGAGGCCAGAATGCACCATTCTCATCCCATCCTCTTTTCAGGGACGCTCCTTCGGATTGCCGAAAACTCCTCCCAAGCTGAGCAAACTGTACAGCATTTGACCTAACCATGACTTTCTTTAAGTCTGAAAAACCCGGCCGGTACAAATAGCCCTTCGATGCTATGTTTACCCCCCATGGACGTGGGAATTGTACATAAATGTTCCTTGATTGAAATATTTTCGATTTTTTTTCACTATGCACATCTATCAAGCCCAGAGCGGAGTAACGGAGTTATGTTAGGCTCATCAAGACGGGCAGTAATTACATCGCCCGGTCGCGTTCTTCTACTCATGTGTTGAAAGTCTTGCTTCGCAGCGACTGCTTTTGTTTAGTCTCATCAGATTCTTATTATGATCCTTTAGAATGCGCTTCCCATCACCCTCCGAGGCGTTCATTGTTGCAGTGTACCGCACCGATGGGGCACTTTATTATGTTTCTGCAGTCTCATAGGGCCAGTTGGTTGAAGTGAGCTGTGTGGTGCAGGTTAGCTTTTGGTCGCTTACCACGTTGCCGGTCGTGGTTGACGCTGCACCAAGAAAATAGATGGGGGAATTTTAATATTTCGTCTTTGTCTGGTCAGCCACGTACTAGGTACGGCCTAATTTCTGCAAGACAACAAAGTGAAATTGTGCATGCTGTTAATGAATCTGCAAACTCAGCAGATCGATTCATCTACATGCAGAGCAACTCGATTTTGCATGTCAGCAACACCTGCTGACTGTTTGGACAGTTAGCCTCGACATCCCAGGTGATTCCATCAGTAGGCTAGGAGTTTACGAAGGATTTTGTTGAACGCAAACACGGAATTGAAGAAAACCCTTGAGTTGCAAGTTCGTCTTCAAGGATTGAGTGAGGTTGAATAGTAAGAGTACTAGGGTGCTAGGGCAGGAGCTGCGCGAGTGGAGCCTATGATGAGCTGGGTGAATCAGTTTATTGGTAATTGGGTGATGGAGCAGAGAATGGTATAGAATTTTCCCCACTATTTAGCACGGGGTGCATGCAGATCTTTTCCGTTCTGACGATAACTGTATTTGTAGATAGGTTACACATTCGCGTAAGGTAGAAGGGGAAATAAGAGAGCTGGAATAATTTGGATAAATGGTGTTCGAAACAGGAAATCCTCCTAGGTTGCAAAGAGCAAGGAGATCTACTATTTACGGAGTGGAGAACCTCGTTGTTTCTAAACCGCTTAGCGTCTGTGATGTAGGTATTGAGGAGTATTTCAAGTCACCTCGTTCAGCACTTTATTGGAAGGACAATGTACCAGCGACCTGTTAGGGGGAACTTGAATTACGGTTGTTCCTGCGGTATCATTCTTTTGGGGTTGGTTTACGTTTCGATTTAGTGTGAATGCGTCCAAGTAACTTCTCTTTCTCTGGAGGCCATATTTACTCTTGGGTGAAGCGTTTACATTCTTTGAATATGCGAAAAAGCTGCCGCCCTATCCATCCAGTAAATAGAGCTGTTTCACGTCCTAAAGCCCCACTAATCCCCGATATTTCCTGTGGTAATATCATAGTCCTGTGCGGAGCGCAACATATTTGTCACGCTGAGAGGATATGATAACTTGTGGGGGAATGTGGTATGGTCTCCCATCCGTAAGACTAGGAGCGTGCATCCTGTCAACTTCGCCGATGAACGCTAGCTTCAGATTTGACAGGCACTGGCGAGTTAGATCTCATTGTGTGCCGAATACTTTTGCCATCGCAGTGATGCGGCTGTGTCTCGGACCGCAAGTAACTCGGAGTTAGAGAACGAGTGTATGCCCCAGTTGACCGTTGGACGGCCGAATTCCCGTAATATTTGGAGGCCAGAATGGTCCGAGATAGGAACTGACGGCGGACTTCTTTATATGACGACGATAGTTACCTGGAAATGAGACGAGCAAGCAACAAACATCGCCACTCCGGACGTATGGTTAGCTGAAGCTTATCGACAGGTTTCGTAGGCTTGGCGCTCATGGAGATTAAAGGGGGGATTTGAGCGTCGACTGCAAGAGTTCAAATGCCATTAGTATTGCCCCGGGGTAATCAAAGTGACGAGTGTTGTATCTACTGTATCCATTTATCTATTTCATTGTTGCTGACTTCAGGGATGAGCCACGGTTTGGTTGAGAAGAGATGTGGGGAGACGTTTCCAAGATACGGCTGAAATCTGTGGAGGCCACTGTTATTTCGGGGGAGGGGTGCGACAGGACCTCCACCGGTAACTCTGGGATCGTGGGACACAGAGGGTGGACGAGTGGGTATGTGGGACAAGCGTAAGGTGTAGGTGGTCCGGTTTGATGCAGTCGGCTTTGGGATTAATGCGGTGTCGGAAGCACACGGTGAGGTAGGAATTCAGTGAGCACAAAAGTCAGCGGTTGGTCCAGTGAGGAGTGGTATTAGTGAGTTGGGTCCAGACAAAGACTTCGAGAATTTCTTCTCCACCAGACAGTGAGCGGAAGCGTCTATCTCGTTTTTCAGACCGGAGAATATTTTTGACTAAATGATCGTTTAATTATTCTCGCGGTGGTGACACCTTGTTATAGTAAAGTTGGAGAAATGATCATCAAGTTTATCATGAAGGACTGCTCCGGGACCAAAAGTTATGACAGTGTTTCAGATCGGCGCATTGTAGCCAGAACCAGGAGGGATGGGTTAGACTTAGAAACTGATGGCTTGAAAGGAGGCCTTTTCGGCCTAAACCATTTGGGTAGGATAGTTAGAGACATTAAAATAACGGACCGCGACCGGATGGCGGAGCCGTTGGACCGTCCCTTGGCTTAGAGAAGCGCGGCAGTGAGTAGTGGGTGGATCGCAGAAGGATATTTGTAGAAGAACCTATTCGCGGATATTACCCTAGGCTGGGGATGTAGTAGGTTTTCAGGTATAGTCAGCGATTTTCGTGGGAGCACGGGGTACTAAGTGAATAGGCTTGCCTCTTGTCTATACGAGGCCAGTTGAGTACAGATGGCCTAATCACATCCTGCGTAAGTTAACCCGTTCGTCAGGCAGCGTGACTGAATGACAGAGCACTGAACATATCCTCATCCGACGAACTATTTTCTCGTTGAGGTCCGGTGACGGATTGTTGATGGTTTCGGGAAGAGCTGTGATGCCGGACGCTGGAAATGGGTTGGTAATTGCTGTGTTTGACTTTCGGCTGTGGGATTAGTCTGAGGCTATTAGTGAGAGAGAGCGAGTGTGAAAGAGTGCACAAGGAGGAAAGCCAAATGGGTGGCAACATCGTGCTATACCTGTTTATGAGCCCCGATAAAATACGACATACTCTGATAGCTCCGACAAGTTATC